ACAGAGACCGAGGATCCGCCAAAATACTTGGTGAACAGTCTCGAGGACTTTTTGGTTGCGGAAGCCATGCCGCAGCTTCAAGAGATCATGGAACAGGCGAAGGAACAGTGCTCGGAGATTTTCAAAGCTGCAGCGGCTGCTGCCGCTGCCGCCAAGGCGAAGTTGAAGGCAGGTGGCCAGAAGAAGAAAGCAATCATTGGTAAACGGGACCCCTTTGAGAAGACACCTAAGAAGCAAGCAGCGGAGCTTGCGCAGAAGCTTGTGATGGATTTGGTTGACCACATAGAGAACCACAGGCTTCTTAAGGAAGGTGTTTTTGTGGAGAACTTGAAGTATGGCCATGGCAACAGCACCGGCAGCGACAATATCGTTTCTGGTCCACGGTTGATGGTCGGTCTGGTCCGACGGCGGGCCGACGGGACGGGTCGAACTTTCCATATGTATATATATATATATATATCAGTGTCTGTGTGTCCAGCCCTGTCTCAAAGGGTTCTTTCAATCACCTAGTTGTGCAGGGGGACAGAGCTCTCTGATGCTACTCTGTCCAACGAAGCTGTGCATCAGAGAGGGAAGCATCCACTGGCCATGGATGTGTACCTGCTTCAACGGTTGAACAAGCTGTCCAATTGATCTTGTTTGCTTCCATGGTTGTTCATGATACTTTCCCCCAGGGCCCCAAACCTTTCTTCCTCCAGCAGCCGCGCGTTTTGCAACATGTCATTGTGAACAAACCTTTTGTTGAAACACCTTCAACTCATCGGACCTTTCACCGTGCCGTTCCATCACCATTTTTCCTGGCAATTGAGTTAACTGAAAACCAATGTCGAAGTGTGATTATATTGTAACTATATCTGTAGTAGTGCTGGTTTTAGGTTTTCTTAGTCACCTGGTCACCTTCCTTCTCAATCCTCTCCTGGTCCTTTCCCTGGTGACCTGGTGAAGGGTGAAGCTCTCCTGACTATGTCGATCAGTTAATACAGTTGGACTCCTGGACACCTGCTGCGTGTATTAGGTTTCGCTCAACGAGCTTGCCAACCTGCCATTCTTGGTTCTTTGTGCTGGGAGCACCTGTGTTGATTGGTCGGGGGCTTAGGTCAATCTTTGAATCCGACAAAGATCTAAGCGCCCACGATTGAGGGTTGTGCAATCTTACTACATGCAATGAACAGCCGCTGACCCACTCTTTACTTTTTCAAGTGGCAGGGCAGGGCAAGGTCGCAGGGTTCCTGTTTGCTGATCTTTGTTTGCAGGTCGAGCATGGGCTCGCGCCGTGGATTCCTGGGTGAGAGCGTATTGCCCTTTGCAATCTTCATATCCCTGGCTCGTCGGTTGCGACCAAGTCTCATATTGCACGAGTGCACAAGGTCATTTCAGTGGAAGGTCTTCACTGAAGGAAATGGAAACATCAGAGAAGTCTTCGAAGGGTATGGTATCCGAAATGTGCTCACACGGCCCTTGGATTTTGGCATGCCCATTCAGAGGAGTAGGTCCTACACTGTCCTTGTACACCCTGATTGGGATCTGACAGCTGGAGTTGATGAATTATACAGGTTGTTCATTTCACCCGGCACAGAGATGCACGCTGGTGTATTCCTGGGAGATTGTGAGGAGGAGGCAGGCATGGGTTTGGTTCGTTTGGGAGTTTGGCTTTTGGTCTCGTTGTTGATGATCAATCCATTATCATCACCGCCATGCCACTTAGACTTGGCGACTTTGCAGGTAAACAAATTGCGGTACACAATGGCTGACAACGTGTCTTTGCACAACTCTGGTTTGCCTCGTCATGCAGCGATCCCCCACTCCTAGCAATCTTCAACTCCACTTATTGTTTTAAACAATTGCTTGACTGTAACTTTGGACTAGCCTGACTCTGACTCTGACTCTACTAGTGGCGGGGGGTCACAGCGCGGCGCCAAGGCCAAGAAGTCTGCAACGTTGCCCTTCAAGGACTTGCTACCTGTGGCGGCAAGTGTCAACTTGGACACTGCTTTACGCTTACCAAAGATGGAAGAGCTTCTTTCAAACAATGACAAGGTCGAAGTGGCAATTAATTTGGACCAGAATGTCGGTTTTCAAGTGGTTTGGATTGCATTTTCCTTTTGAGTTTGCAGTTGCAGACTTGCAGTTGCAAAGGTGATAACCAAGTGTGATGCTTCACTGCTCACTGGATTATGTATACGTACCTGGTTAACTTCAAGGTTTCTGCGCGCTCAGGAGCATTTTGGAGTGTATGTGCCGGTTCTGCTGGCAAGTTTGCATTGCCTGTGGGCTGTGCGAGCTTGCCGCCCCTACACACCCAAAGCCAGCCCCTGAGATCAGGATGTTGAACGTGCATTCTTCTTCACCACAAGCGCTGCGCTCGCTCTGTTAGTCAGTTACTATTTAGGTTGGCTTGGATTTGGATTCTACACATGTCACACGTCACGTCCGCACAATTTATCGTCCTCAGGAAATTCTCGAGATGCAAGGGCTTCCGCTCTTGAAAGACAGTCTGGACGCTGTGGGCCTTGAAACCCCACCATTCAATCCAGATGTGATTTCGCCTGCTGCTCAACGACGGCTTGCCGGTAACTCCTTCAATCAGGCTTGCTTCTCTGCATGGTTAATTTTCATCCTTGGCAACTTGGCTAAGCGTGACCATGCGGCATCCAGCTCTGGTATCCACAAGACAGACCCGACTAAGACTGATTGCGACGAGGAAAGCTTAGGATCTGAAAGCTGTGAACCGGGCATTTGTGCTGACGACATCGACTGAGAGAGACCATCCAAAATGTACTATGGTTGAATTTGTTTGACACATGGAGTAGTTGAGAGTTGAGATGAACTTGAGACTTCAACTTATGTTGTTGTATGATGTTGTATGTATGTTTGATGGCTAAGACTAGTGCGCACAGTTTAAAAGGATGGACTCAGTTTTGGCACAGTTTTGGCAGTGAGTGACCAGGACTGCCTTTGCAAGGCGGTGACACTGGCTGGCTATTGACCAACTTCCAACGTAATGTTCCGCATCGTAAAAAGTGGTCGCAGCCAAGCTTCGAACCTGAAATAAGCAGTAAGAAGTTGGCCCAAATTACCAGTCCACATTGTCATGCGATGCCTGGTTTGGCGTTCCGTTTTTGGTTTCGAAAAGTGTTGAACTATAGGTGTTTCCCTAGGGCCGCCGGCCCGGCCCGGGCAGGGCCAGGGCAGCTGCTAGTGTTGTGTCCTGATGGCCGTAGCTCCAGCTCCCCAAGAAGGAGTCTGGAGAGTCGAGAGTCGTCGAGAGAGTGTACACACAGGAATTATATACACTTTAGACTACTACTACTACCTGGTCCTAGTTACTAGTACCTGTACCTACTACTACTAACTACTGCTGCTGCTGCTGCTACTGCTACTCCTACTCCTACTCCTACTACTACTACTGCTGCTGCTACTACTACTACTACTACTACTACTACTACTACTACTACTACTACTTGACTTTACTTTGTTCTTTCAACATCACTGACTGACACTGACACCACTGACACTGACGTTTAACCGTCTAACATAGTACATAGGCCAAAGCGCTTTGGCCGCTCTTCTAGGAGGTGGTTGCTGCGGCTGCGGTGCCGGTGATGAAGGTGAAGGACCTTCTGTGTGCGTCGCTTGTGACCAGACCTACACTGAGGAGGATTTCAAATCCAAAGGCAGTAGCTTTGCGTTGCAAAACAGCAGTCACGAACAATGTTGGATAACAACTTTTGTGAGTCAGACTTGACTTCAGACTTCAGACTAGACACCACTCGACTCACTACCGCCGTGACTCTGACTCTGTGGTTCTGTTTGACAGGGCTTACAGGGCTACTTGTAGTACTTCTGTTTGTGTTCTGTTTTTGTGTCCTGCCGGAGAGTGAGTGGTGGCAGCTGCAGCTCAACCAAGACTGAAACAGTCTTGAGAATCTGCCAAGGTACACGCCATCGTCACCACTGTCCCAAATGCAGTCTTGACCTTCGAAACATCCTTCGGCAAGCAGCAGACGAGTCAACGGACACTAGTGCAAGGATCCTTGAGGGATCAGGTGGTTCGGGCGGAAGCACAGACCCACAACCAGGAGCAGACATTCGATGCGGAGTTAAACATGTTTGTTTTTTTAGTTTGTTGATGCCAGTACTCGGACTCCCGGACCGGACTGCTTGGAGGACCACAGGACCACCTGTAGACCGACCTGTAGTGTTGTAGTATGCAGCCTGTAGACGTGATCAATTGATTGGATGGATCTGTGAATCACTTTGCCTGAGTGAGAGTGAGTTGAGGAATCTACCTCAACGTGGCTAAGAGGACTCCAGGAAACAAATCCTGGTGAATACAAGAAAGTTTTTGCTCGTTTCCGCGAGCTGACAACAGATGGTCGGGGTGGAGGACGTGGAATGAAGCAGAAGAAAGTGAACTTTGTCAGAGTCAAAGTGTTGTCGATGGCCATGTCATCGCCAGTGTTCATACAGTATAGTATGTGGTTACTAAATACTATCCATTCATCATTCATCATCAATCATATTGATTCACGGTCAGTGTCACTCACCCGTGCTGAGTTTTGATGGCCTCGGCGTTTCCGAGGAACCCTCGAACGCTAGTGGAGAGCGAGATCGTAGAGACGGCCAAAGAAAAACGACTCAGAGATACTTTCAAGTTGATGAACTATGCGTATTACAGTTGGCATTTTTCATCCCAAGTACCTCCACCCGAACGGCTGTCAGAGTCTGAGTGCAGAGTCGCGTGGCAACGTGATCTTCAAGATGAGACCATAGAGAAGGTCACACGCAAGGTCCTGAATAGGAAGACGGGCAAGACTGAAGACCAAAAGTGCATGTACATTCCCGTGATGGCAGAGGGATTCAAAGACATGGTTGCGTCAGAGAAACGCCAGTCGAGCATAGTCACCACCAAGGGCGGGGCGGACAACAAAGCCCTTGAGCGCTCAAGGGCGCACGCACTGTCCTTCTTGTCAATGTCGGGCGACGATGACTTCTTTCAAGTTTCTTGGTTGAGGTTGAGGCATGTTGAGGCTAGCGTAACTATTAGAGTTGTCTGCAGTGGGCAGGATTTGGGCACGCCTGTCAACTTTTCAAACATTTGTCATTGTCAAATTGTCAACTTCTGTTAGCTTGTGTCTATTGTTCTTTGTCCATTCTATGGCATGCCGTGCGCCCGTGCCTGCTAAGACTTTGAGTATGGACTTCTTGGGCAAGCTGACACTTGATGCTGATGGAACAGAAATTACGACTGAGGCTGAAGCAGCACGCAGGTAGGGTCAGGGTCATGACCAAAGGAATGTGTTATTGTTGTTTTGTTTTGGTTCTTTGGAGATGGGGCAACCACTTGACCCATCTGACCTTCCTTATTCCTGTACAAAACCCCGCTGTCACTGGGAGAAAGATTGACCAACTCACACAGGCGAGCAAACAAGAATAAGAAGAAGAAGAAGCAACCAGCCGATGTTGGCGTTTGCAGGCTGCGTTCTGCCAGCAAAATCCTGAGCCAGCAAAGGTTCACCAAAGCCATGATCGCTGATGCGGCCAAGAAATTTACTATGTGGACAGACGCTGACCTTACCAAGCATATTTACGAGGATGCAGTCAAGTTGCGAGGTGACGGTGTGGCTGAGAAGAGTCTTGGGAACAAAGACCTTGGTGACAACTTGTCCGCAGTGCGTTTGACTTACACCATCCTCGAGCGGTGGGAGTTGCTCTTGATTGCTTCCGTCGGATCCAGTGCCATCGAGGAGGGGACGTTCACCCGTGCAGACGGGAAGAAGGAGGCGTGGCATTTCAGTTTCAGTTGCAACCAATCACCTGACCTTACCCGGCCTTATTCATTTCAGTTAGTCCCATGAGTCGAGTCTCAGGACTTACTAGTACTGTCAAATAGACACGATCATCAAAGTTTGGAGTATGACTACGGGGAAAAAGCTGGCGGTGCAGGCAGACTTCCTTGCTGACCCAGCATTTTGCCGATCAGAGTTGGCGCGTGCCTTGGAAGATGACCCCTACCTCACAGAGAAAGCTCCAGATCTGACTCCATTTCTGGACGTTGATTCCGCACGGCTTGATGGGCTGAACAACGCAGATGAAGTCACTGGCATGGAAACACAATTGCTGAAGGCATTGGCAGACATCAAAACAGTGGTTACGGCACTGCGTCGGTCTATGAAGGACTCCAAACTCCAGAAACCAGGGAGGTCGTCGATGTCATTTCAAGGTCAAAGTGATCATCCCATCCCCCAAATCCCATCCCATCCCACCAAATTCTGTTCAGTTTGCTTGGGCAGGCAGGTGGTGGTCAGGTCTCAGGTGGTCAGGTGGTGGTGTCATGGTGTCGTGATCTAGCATATTCACTTGTGTGGATGGCAGTCGATACACTTGCCGCTCTTGATGCTTTTTGGAGCCTGGAGATAGCTGAATTTTTTATGCAACTTGCTGACTGACTGTTTGAAGTTTGAAGTTTGCAGGATGCTGAGCAAATGGTGAAGTCAGTGGCCAAAGCTCGCCAACGTTTCCAGGAGCAACTCCAAAGGACTGAGGGTGGTAACGCCTCACGTGGGCATGGTGGACTTGCAGGGCGGCCAAATTTGAATAGTTTGGCTGCGACTGACCCGGAGATCCTTCGCTCATGGAAGCCTTGGCCCTAGTCTCTTTTGCCTTTACCCAGACTCCGCGCACCACTTCCAACCAAATTCACTTTAGGAGGTCTAGTTTCGAGTGTAGCTCTGTCGCTTTGTCAAATTTACAATCAGTCACTACAAAGTGAGGCACTACAATCAGCATCGCCCGATGGATGTGGTGAAGAACTTGGCGGATGGAACGGTTGGGACGCCGGCCATCGTGCGGCGGGGCCGCAATACTCTGCAAACTTTATGCGGAAGCGCACCAACCAAATCCTTCATCACCAACCTCATCAATGGTTTTGAGTCCAAGTTGGAAGGTCAACCGATTGCACGACCACAGCCACTTTACAGCAGAATTAAACCAAAGTTTTGGGTCTTGGTGTAATTTGTTGTAGCTAGTGGAACGTCTGAGTTTGAGCCGGCGGGCAGTGCCTGGACAATTTTCGTATGTCAGGTCAGTCATCAAAAGCAAGGGGGCAGATGGCGCCGAAGATCCTACCGCTTCAAGTGCGCTCCTGGAGGTGAGAACCAATTTCCTAAAGGAGTTTCCTGAGTCATGGGATGGTTTTCACATTGACGAGGAGACTTTGAAAGCCCACTCGGAGCCCAAAACGGCTCCAGGCTTGGAAGCTCTCAAGACAATCTGCTTGTGTGGGTCCAAGAATGGCACTGTCTTCACCGGCCTCGACAATTTTGGCATTCCTTCTATTCGTCTACAGGCCAGGGCGGTTGATAAATATGTTGGAGGAAACGTCACTAGGTACAAAGTACCTCAGGCACAAGCCTCACCCTGAGTTTTGTTGCTATTTTTTTGAGTCGGTTACCTGGTCATGGTCAACCGCCTGGACCCCTTTCAGGCGAAGGGATCAAAACTCTTGATAGTGGCCAGCGTCTACGATTGTATCCGACAGTTCCAGTCCGAATCGATGATGGACATCAAGACCATGTTCACCAACCTCTCGGCCTCAAACCTTCCAAAGGATGATGGATTCCTAGCTTAACTTACCGCGGCCTCCAAAATGTAATCTAATCTCTGACCATGCCATCGCACAACGTTGAACCATATTCATTTATCATGAGGACCTGCTTGCAAGTTTGTCTTGAATCTTTGTCCCTGACTGATCGACTAAGAAATGCCATCTCTTCGCGCCGGTTTTGTGAAGACGGGAGACATTTTGTACCTGCCGATGGGCTTTTTGGTTTGCGAGAAGACGTTGACAGAGGCATCATTAGCGCTAAGGCACCAGCGGGACCCAAATTTGATTGAATGATCGATCTAGAACCTGGCGAAGAATTGAATGCATGTTGTTTTTGCTTCCTTTTTATTTGGTGCTAAAGAACTAGCCGTTTAATCGATTTGGACCTCAATTACAACTGAAGGCAATGCTTGTTGAGTTTCTGTAGTGGTTTTGAAGCCGTGACAGGACCAGCGCGCTGTACTACGACGAAGATGGCCTTGCTTCCTTTCACTTGTCCATCGATCAGGTGGATGGGTGGGCCTGGGTGGGACATGACGGTTTTGTCAAGTCCAGCCTTTGCCACCGCTGTCTCTGTCCCTGTGTTTATGTTGCTCCACCTTCATGTGATTTGTTTTGCCTTTTGATCTGACCTGGTCTTTTGTAGTTTTGCCAGTGTTTTTGATATGGCAGTCTGGCGCTTGCATATGAGAAGAAATACTCTCAAGAATAAACAGCAGGCCAATCAGTGACCAGTAGTATCTCCAAGTGTTGTCAGGTGGACCAACCTCCAGCTGCAGAGCTCCTACTCTCCGTGCTTCCGTCAGTCGACACTGACAAGGTTTTGGCGGAGATGGCCGACCCTGGACAGGCTCTGGGGCCAGGACTACCTGCAGATGGTGCCGGACATGTGCTGGCTTTGGAGAATGGAGAGGACAGTGGTTGTGAGTTGTAGGTGTTTGTGCCTGTAACCAAACCATACAAACCATACTAACCACGACCACAGCTACCAGTCATGTAATGGCAACCGGACCAAGCAGGCCTTAGGTGCAATAGGTTGAAGTGGCGTTGAATTTATTTGTGGAATGGCCGACGGCCAGGGAAAGCATTCAGAAATTATTCAACATTTGTTTAACAGCCAGCCATCATAATCCCTGGAGGAGGAGAACACTTCGGAGAAGGGCAATCGGCCTACATCATCGACTGAGCAAATTGTGGAGTCTGAGGAGAATCGTGTGAGCCAAGCTCGGAAGAAGTGGAGGGATCAGAA